GTAGTAAGAAGTTTCTCCACTGTTTCTTAATATGATACTTATCACTTCTACCTGCCAGTGAAGTTAAACTTCAAAAGGACTTTGTTTGTCAAAACCAAAGCATACTCTTTATGATTCATTTTAGTCTATTTTAACCTTCCAGAATTAGATTTCATAAAAAAGCACAAGTATTTTGTCATCACCTTTTATTTTATTCTTGATTTAAGAGTTTAAAAACCAGTCCTCATTATCCTGTAGGAAAAAAAAAAAAAAAGAAACAGAAACCCTTCTAACACCAAGAAGATTTAAGGCTAAAGACCCAGTAAGTAAACCAAAATCTCAGCACGAAGTCTCTTTGACTAGGACTCAGCCCACTTTTTTTTTTTTAATCAGGGCTGGCTCTCCACTACTTCATGGTGGAAATCCCTTGTACTCTCCAACATCTGCACAGACTGGTTGATCTCTTAGTCAATTTTACTGAGTTTGTAATGCTCTGGCAACACAAACTATCTAATCTCCCTGGGATGTGCCTACCTGGATATTTTCCCCAAGTCAAAGGGCTCCTATGTGGCAAAGGAGGTGATGCACTACTGGTCTCCCATCTGCCTCACAACATCCTTTCATTCCTCAGCTCACCAGGTGCCAAAAGGGCTGTGGGAACCATGGGCAGATCAGGAATGTAACAGCTCACCTGCCTCCTGCTGATCCCAGGAACACAAAGCTGGCTGGTAGCCTTGCCTTTCACTGTACCACCAACTCTCGACTGTGGCCATGCAAGCGTGGAGATTGCATGGATCACTTTCAGATCAAAATGTGTCACTGCACTTGTGATAATATTTCATACCTAGCTGATACAAGTGCACCCTGCTACACAAAATCCAAGAGTAACAGGTTAGGCCCCACTAGTTGGTTTTGCTCATTCTGGCTATACCGAAAGTAAGACACAGCTCTTCTAAGAAGTGACAGAGAATGCTAGAAAAGTACATACAGCCCATACATACGTTATTGACAAAAAAGTTCCTATGCTACAAACGCAAGAAATATCACCGTAAAAATATCTTGCAGAGGAAATATAAGCATCGGAAACTCCAAAAACTGGTGCTACAGGAATACTATGCTTTTTTCCTTCCCCTTAAAAGAGCAACTCCTGCCAAAAAGCCTTTGAAAAAAACAAGCCCACAAAGAAACCCCACAAACTAAACCATCAGGAATTTTTCTTCTGGTAAGAACCTGACACCATATTTGCTCCTAAATTCTGAGTTAACCTTGTCACAGTGACAACTTTTATCAGGGACCATTATAGGACTCTGTATCTTTGAAACTAACAATTCATCCTAGAAAGAAGCATTTAACTTTGAAAGAAATGTTATTTGGCTAAATGTAGGTTATCTAATAGTAAGTGTTCACAAAATGTAAGTGAAAAAATATTACAAATATGAAAAAATCTGAATTATCCCATTACCCTTTTTTCTGAAATTACTTCTGAAACTGTTTCAGGAAACCTGTTATAACTCTATGTAACTCTACTAATGCTAATGGAAATATATTCATTTGCAGCAGCTTAAGATCCAGCTCATCATTTTTTAATAGAAACCATTCCTATATGGGATTCACCACCTGAATATTATAGAAGCATGTTAATGCCAAGGACCTAAAAATAGCAATTAAATAAAAGTGTTTTTCAAAGTCTTAGGTATAAAAGCCTTAAAATGCAAGGATATCCCATAAATAGAAGAAAATGAAATAATATCTCTGATCTATTCCTACTTACCTCCTGAAATACCTGAAAAATCGCCAGTTTTAATGGGGGGCAGGAATGCATTTTAGACTCAATCATGTTATAAACATGTTCCATCATGTTATGAGATGTTTTTTCTCCTACTTCCCTCCTGCAAATCACTGAAACTTCAAATTTGATTTTCACACTATAAAATTAACTAATTACGATATAGCTTTAAAAAAATTAAAGAGACACTAAGGCAAGTAGAGTTTGGCTGAATGGAAAAATTAAGTTCCTGATGTTCAGAGATGAAAAATTATTACACAGATGATTCCAAGAAACAAATTTCTGCTTATGATAATCTAAATATAAATTATAGATTGATATTCACTTGAACACAGCAGCATCAATTTTTTATGTGGGCAACTGCTGTTTTGCATTGCCATTTATTGATTAAATGCTCAATATACCATTTGCAGTCATTCAAAAAAATCACACCTTGTCCCTTTACTCTATGGAAAAAAACTTTAATTTTTTGTTTGTAGTACAGGACACGAGAGCATCTTTTTCAAAGCAGATTATTCCTATTAAGCCTGTTCATGAACTTGTGGGTTTGTCCAGAGTCTTTATGGGAATGTGACATTCCTGTTTAATATTTTTCTGTGAAGAACATTAAAATGAAATTTTGGCTGGGGCTTTATTAACCTATCTAACAAAAGTCAGCTGGTCAGTAGGCTTACCTGGGAACTGAGCTCTTCTGAGACTGATGTCTCTCCTTTTTCAACCTCACTGAACTGCTGAGCTACTACGAAGTAAGTAGCTCTTTTTGTTTGTTTGTTTGTTTTGTTTTCCCCAAAACATTTGGCAGCTATAGTTTTCATTTCAATGTCAAATGACTACCAACTAAACCTCATGCTTTCTGTCCCACAGAACTGTTGTTTTCTGGCCAACTCTGCCCGTCATAATCACAATAGAATCCTATGGTGATTATTAGAACAACTTTTGGAGCTATAGGATAGATTATTTGACAACAGGTCTACTCAGTTTTGGTTATTGTACAGTGCAAATGAAGATCAGTATGAAAAATTCTGAATTGTAGCCAGTCTACATACTTTTTCCTCACAGGACCTACAACAAGAAAGAAAAACAACCTTTAAAGCTATGTCCGCTTTTAAAAATCTACCTGTAGGTTTGAGACTATCTATAACTGGTTGATTGGGGGGGAAAAAAAGTACAATAATAAATAACACAAGATTAACAAAAGTGGAGTATATTCTTTTAAAGTTTTTTTGCAATGGGAATCTGTAAAAATTTGGGTCTGGGGTAAAATAAAAGCAAACACTAGTTGAAGCTGCACACCTCAAATTAAAAAAAAATATAATTTTGGGCCCTGGGACACCACAGTGTCTTATTCTTACACTGTTTTTTTCTTCTGCCCTAAGCTTTGATTCAAAGGAATTGACTGACAAACAGATTGTCCTCCAAAGTATCTTTATTAACACATTGGTGGAGAGGACACAGGGTTAACTCCACAAATGTACCTCTGCTTTTTCACATTTTTGTTGGGCTTATATAGCAATTTTTTCATAAATGTCATACACTCTTACATTTTTGTGGTTAGTAGCTGATAAACTAAATGGTTAAGCACACATTACAATAGCATTTTATTTTACTTAGGTGTAAGACATATTTTCTGGCTTTCTTGTTAACACTTGTCTACGTTCCTAAAAGGAACAGTTAGTTACCTATCTGTTCCTCCAAGCTTGCTTATGTATTTTTGAAGCAACAGTTAGTTAACCATCTGTCTCTCTTACAAGAGCAGTTCCCTATTTGCAGCTAGCAGTTTTGAATAGTCGGTTAAATTTTCTAATTTGCTAAGTCACACTAAACCAGACCTGCTTATGCTTATCACAGTTACAATATAAAGTTGATAATTCTTCGTCTCAGCTTCCATGAATAACTTTGCAGGTATGTAAAACCTGTTGACTTTGACAGGATTATCAATGAAGCATGAAGTTATTCATAACTGTGCATAGCTAATGGCAGCAGTTATACAAGGGTTACCTGCTTTATGTTATTATGTTTCAGCCACAATTTTGAGACCAGTATGGACCATGAATGGACCACAAGGGAGAATCAGAGGGCACAGAGCAAAACTGGTAGCAGCCCTGTTGTCTGCATATCTTACCTGAAGACTAAAACTAGATGTGATATCACAAGACATCTCAGAAATCCACTTAATTCTTCAAAGGTGTTTCAAATGCAGTTTTGCTGCAATCTGCTGTTCTCTCTTTAGGTTCACCATTGTGCTGCAACATGATTTAGGGCCTAACCTTGCTGTTACAGATGTTAGTTCACAGAAAAGGGTAACTCCTAGTAGGACAGAGAAGGAAAGCTCCTCAGGGCAGGGATCTTGTTTTTACAGCAGAATTTTAAGCTCTTAGTACATTACAAATTATGATATGAAGAATACTGCAAGCCACAGCCTCAAAAACCTAAGGATGCCTTGGTAAAAGCAGAGTAAGGAATGTAAAGTGTCATTAACAGTGAGTCAACATGCGCAGTCAGTGCTACAGGAATGACTGCTACTCAGTCCAACTGCTCACAGTGACGGGCTAAGCTCCGCTGTTGGCAGAAACTCACACGAAAAACCAAGCTTTCGGTAACCAACTGCAGATCCACGAGGAGCGGGCTCTCTGGCCACGCACAGGCCCTCGGCTTGGAGAGCCGGCACGCCGCGGCTCAAGCCATGTCCACCCGAGGCACCTTCCAGCCCTGTCCCCGTGGCTGTGCAGGGAGAGCTGCTCCGAAGGGCTCAGGAGGCGCGGGCCGCGGGTCCCGCCGTCCCGCCGCCTGCGGGCACACGGTGCGGGCCGGCACCAGGTGCGGGAGCTGCCGCAGCAGCTGCAGGCAGGGCCGGGCGGTCGTTCCCCCGGCGACAGCAGGCAGCTCCCGAGATGCCCTCTCCGGGCTCCTCCGGCCCGAACAGACCCTGCTGATTTCCTGCCAAATCCGCTCTTTTCTCCCCCCTCTTCCCTCCATGGACAGACCTCAGCTTTGGCCGCGAAACCCCGAGATTCCGAGTCCTTTCTTCCCCGCTTACTTTCCCTCAGGGCCATCAACAAACACGCTCACCCCTCCCGAAATGTTTCCAGCCTCAAAACTTAGCAACCGTGTCCCCCGCCTCCCGCGGCGGACTCCTGTCGCTTGTCCCTCGCCTCCTGCCCCCCTCCCGCCCCGCTCCGCTGCTGCCTCCGGCCCCAGCAGCTGTCAAAGGCAGCCCGGGCCGGCGTGCACTTACCCCGGAGCACAGCGGGGACCGAACTGCCCATGAGGACCCAGAGGGAAAGGCGCAGCAGCAGCCGCCGCAGGCTCCTCGGCAGCCGGGGAGTCATCGTGGAGCCGGATCGGCACGGCCGGCGAGCCGCGGGCGGGGCGCGGGGGCGGCGAGGAGGCCGCGGCGGCGGTGGCAGGGCAGGCGGGGAGCGGGGCTGCGCGGCTCCGCTGCTCGGGACCGAGGGTGACTCACTGAAAACTTCACTTCGGCGCTGCAGGGGAAACAGGAAATCTTAAACTTCGCAAACAGCTGGGCAGGACTTTCTTACTCTTACAGTAGTTCCTTCTCCCCCTTCCCACAGTCACCCCCTCCCCTGCGCTCGCCCTTTTTCTTTTTTCTTTTTTTTTTTTTTTTTTTTTTTTTTTTTTTTTTTTCATTTAACATGAAACCTCACCCAGTTTGATGTCAATCATCTGCTAGAGGCCAGCCCCTCTCAGGTCTGGCTCTCCCACCACAAGCGCGCCGGGGCCAGCCCCGACGTGCAGCCCGGATCCCTGCGCCTGCCTCCCTCTGAGGCGGGGACCGGCCACAGCCACCCGCCCGCGCTGCCGGGCCCCGGAGCTGCACCGGGGCTGGGGACAAGGCTCAAGGTCGAGAGGAAACGGCCAGCTCGGAGGGCTCCGTCTCCCTACCAGTTGAAAGAAGACCCAGTCATATCATTTGGGGCACGGGGACTTTCCAGAGCTCCTGCTGGCATCCGTATCCCTGATCTTAACGATGCTGCTGCAGCCGGTTTCCCCCTCTGCGGAACTGGAATCGGAAAGAAGGACGTAATCCCCAGATGAACTAAAGCAGGGAGCAGGGGAGGTTGAAGTCAGGGTAATAGTAGGAAACCTTCACACAGACTAGCTGGGCACTCAGCTTGCAGATGTTGAAGCTGGCTGGAGCAACTTGTCAGCTGCTTCTTATTTTGCACTTACCCCCAAATGGGCTGGATGTGCAATACCTTGATCTCAAATGCTGTGTATGTGACACAGATTAAGTTCTTCTCCAGCCCTCCCCAAAGCAGTTTTTACCAGAGATTTTGCCTTCTCCACGAACAAAAAATTGCACCTATGATTCAGGAGCAGGACCACACTGATGTGTATAGCCCAGTCAGAGATTGTAAGAACCATTAGACTTTCAATCTGAATAAGTCTTGAGCTTTCTGCCAGTATAAATCCAGCCATTGCATAGCCAACAGTTGTCTTGAGACTCATTTTTGGCTCACCGTCTCCCTTCCTCTCTGAGTTAAATGGCTGAGTATTGATGGAAGGGCGAAGTGATGCACATGGGGATAATTTGAAGGTGTTCGTGTGAACTGAGGTGGTTCGCTTTTGTCTGGGCTACAGCACTAGAGATACAGATCTGGGTATTTCAGAAAATAGCCTAAGGCCTCAGGGGAATACATGTAATCATGCTCTGACTGCCCCAGATCAACTCTGCTTGAATTTGGAAATGTTTGCATAAAGAATTTAATTGGCCTATAACAGACATAAAAAAATATGTGATTTTATGTAAATTGAGTTTTAAAAACTCCCTAAATGCATATTTTCACCATGCCATCTCAGTTGATGGTGTAAAGTCTCATAAAACTCTCCAAGAGCATTTTCCTCTCCCTCACCCTCTTTAAATACAGTCAAGATTCACTCAAGCACAGTCTCTACCTTCCAGAGGTAAGAAAAATTTTGGACTCCCTTTGAGCACAGACTGGAGTGTTCTTATCAGTTCCTGTGCACTAGCTCTGTGCTTGACTGTTTTCAGTATCCACTTAAACAAAAGCATTTCTCAACCTCCATTAGTATATAAGGAGTGCTGTACATTGCTGTCTCTTTGGAGCTGTCAAGCTACAGGTGCCAAAGAGCTGCTGTTTGCTTAGAAAGTTGGCTGTGTACGCTGAAATTTCCTATTAGTTTTTAGTGACGAACTTCCAACATAAAAAAGAAGTTTAAAAGCCAATAAATACAGATTTAATGCTACTATTCAAACCTGTCACAATCCAGGCTTGACTTGGCAAGCTGGCCTTTGCCTCACTTGCATCTCTCTCCCTCACATGAGTCCCATGGCTCTTCTCTCGCATGGGCACATTCTGACCAGTCTCTCTCATCTAGAGTCTGGCACTAGGAGAGGCACTTGCAGGAGATGGAGATCTTGGGAAGGGCTGTATTCGGGTCTCCAACAGTCTCTCACCCTTGAGTACAGCATGGCATCACAGCTCCTCTCTCTCACATGAGGTAAAATGGCACCTGTTACCCAGTAAGTGAGGAGTCTATGACAAATGGACTTCAGAAGTCTGATATTTCCATGTAAACATTGCTTTTATTTTCACAAATACATCATGCAGTGAGGACTGTGCTACAGCTGCACTTTGGATGTTCAGAGAACCCATTAGAATGCTAGGTGCTACTAGAAAGTTTTGGGGTGGAAGGAAGGTAGATATCCTCAGTGGAGGAGTACTGACTTTGTCACCTATAGCCTGTGTGGAAGTGGAAGTAACCCTGATTTGGTTCACAGATTTGTCCCAGGCAGGCTTATTAGTAAAATCTCATGTTCTACCTTTGAATACTGTAAGTCTCCCTATTAGGGCCCAAATGCAGCTTAATCAAGATTTCCTGCACAACCAAAATATATAAAATAAGACTAAGCTGGTCATTTCTTTCCACTTCCTTGTTCATAGTTCCCAGTTCCCTATTTGCAGATAGCAGTTTATTACTTACTTCTAGATTGAAACTCTGAGCATTGAACTTCAGTCGAATACCTGACTGAGGTAGAGAAAGAGCCTCCTTTGAAGAGGAGCAGATTAAAGACCTAAATAATCAACTCCAGCCTGACAGGGTAAGAAAGGGGCAGCTAATTTCAGTTCCTCACTTAGAAAGGCAAAATATTGAAACACAGAATATTATATATTCTTTCTTAACCTTAGAAGGTTATACCCAGAACACAAACAGTCTGGTACCTCTTGAATCTCAAGGCCTCCTAGTAAAGACAAACTAAGTACTTCTTGCTGTAGTTTTAGGTAGTTTTAGCTTTTAAAATAGTCCATAAAGACTACTGAGTATAAATTATCTCTCTTTGTTATTACAACAATTTTTTAGCTTTTCAGTATAGTACTTTTGTCAAAATCCCATGAGAACTACAACATTATTCTCATAGAAGGACACTTTCAACCTTCTACAAAACTTGCAGTGGTACTAAAAACTGTTGTTTCACTATACTTAACATACACTCCACTCAAAACCATTCTACACACAGTCAAGAACTGCTAATGCATTCGATAAAGCAATTCTTTTGATTAGTTTATTAACTTCAGTGTTGTTTTGTTTAAGAATCACAGAACAAGATAATTCTGAGACCCACTGACTCAGAATTAGGCTTATACTGTTTTACTAACATAATATAATATTCATGCCTATATAAAGCTTATATATGTGATGTAGGGTGAAGACATCTCACCTTACTTAGGCTGTCTAAAAGTTAGCCTTGGAGTGAAGTTCCAAGAGATGATTGAGACAACCCACCACCTTTCCTGCCATCTAAAGGAGCAGTCTCATTTTTTTGGCTGTAGTGAGATAGTCCTAAATCAGGTTCAAGAAGGAAAGGTTGGAGGGCAAATGCTGGTTGAACAGAACTGTCATTATTAGATCAACTACATTCCCTCAGTCATCCAATGATGGAAAGGAGTCCAGATATTTTAAAAACCTTCTAGACACATGAGCTGATGATAGAGAGCAGAGTTAGCCCAGACATCTACTTTTTAGGTATCTGATGTTAGATGACATGAATCCTAAAGAAAATGCTCTTTGAATCGTATACATCATATAAAGTAAGCTACAAGATGCTTTACCGACTGGTGATCATTGGAGCTACTTCCTGTGATATTTGTTTGGAATGACACAAGGCAATCAGATACATAGTATCTTGATATTACCTTGACAAAACTATTAATGACAAAACTGGACCAAGTAGTTTGACCCAAATAAAAACATTGATGACTCTGAATAAGTTTTGTCATAACTACTTTCAAAATAAAATAGGAAATCCGCTTGAAAAATTGACACATCCCTTTTCAATGTTTTTGGTACGATACAGTTGGGGTTTTGTTTTGAAGCAGACAACTAGTTTTGAATTTTTTTTTGTTCTCTCCATGTTACATATTTTAAAAAAAGGACATTGGAACAACATACAACACTTTAATTTCACTGCAGTGAAAGTTTATTTTTTAGGGAAATTTTGGCATTTTAGTTCAAATCAAAGTCAAATTTTGTAAGGCTGTATCATTTGAAACTCAAAACCTCTGTTCCCTGCAGCCCTTTGTTCACAAAACTAACATTTGCCTGCTAATTTTCAAATTGAGGGTGCTTGGCATGGAGTATTGGCCTTTCAGCATTCTTGATAAAAGCTCTGCCTGTTATGTGTATCATTCCTCTTTGGACTACTGTCAAACTGTTTTGCCTTGTATCACTGCTTGCATCATATTTTTATCTTAATTTAGGTTATCATAGAGCGCAGAACTATAACTACACTTAAATGCAGTTTTCTTCTTTTGCATAATCACTGGTTTTAACTTGTTAATAATGATTTGCACCATTATGAGAACAAAAGCACCCTCAAGCAAGGACATTTCAAAAGGTTGCATTTGTTGTAAAATATTTTGAAAAACTCATAAAAAGTGTTTGGACTTAACACAGCATTATGCTTATCTCACAGATATAATCAAATTAAAACATCTGTTGTGTGTAATCATCTGTCAGAAGCAGGAAATCAGCTCGTTATCAACTCCTGCATACATCAGAGGCAACAAGAATAATGTTATCTTCAAGATTTATCTTAGTAAAGCTTTCTGTACAAGCCTCCTGAATGACACTTAGCAAAATAAGAGTTTGAAATATTATTCTAATTAGCACTAGATTCTCAGGGCACTGCTCTTCACATGATCTCTGACTTTTAGCTATAATGCAAATCAGCCATTTTTAAGCTTCACCAAATTGACTTGTTCTGTGTTTACTGTGTATGTAAAAATACCCCCGAACAGTGAAAGCAGAAGTACATGGGTGCCAGAGGAGATATCCTTCTGCAGTGCTTCTGGCAGGAAGGACCACTAATCTCACCACACAACCTTTTAAAGGAAAACTTCCATTCTATTTTTTCAAAAGCAAAGGACATTTGGAGACTTTATACTGTCTTCAGCTTCTTGTACTTCTCACAATGGGTAGCTGAACTGGGGGGAAACCTTGCACATCTCCATAAATGTGTTGTATCTTTTGTCTTGAATCTTTTACATGTACAAAG